TCATTCATAACGTACATGTGCGCCTATTAGTTATGCAACCGAATACACACATTTTACGTTCTGCGTGTGGCGGAATAAAAACAGCGCGGAGTTGGAAAAGATTTGTGGCACAGATATTTTCAGGGCGCATGCAACACAACAGAGAGCAGCGTCTAACGGATTTGTTTGTTTGCTATCGCTCGCAATAAATATCGACGCGAGCGGACGTGCGACAATAGGCAACAAGTGTTGCGGTGTGTCGCGTGGGTTGCCTAAGCGTGTTGGCATCTATTTGAAAATATTTAAAACCTGAAAAAGGTAAATAAAGCAATAAAATTTAATTTTCGTGCGTGGAGGGAGATTTAGAATGTTTAACGGCGAAGATTTCCGGGGTCAGAGGATTTCGACGTGAGAAGAAGACGCGAATTTTACGTCTGAACATAAATTTGTAATCGCATCTTCCTATTTCATATTCGCGAAAGTAAAATTTTATTTTTTTGCTTTTTTTAGTTGTAAAAATTGATTTTTCAAATGTTTTTTTATTTAAATATGACATTGATACGTTGTGGAACATGCAGCTTTGGAGGAAACTGCACAAACATTCCAAATATAGCAAAAACGGACATAAATGTACACGCAGTGCAGATGGGAATACACAAAGCGCATTTAATTATCGGTGGCTGTACGTACGCGCACGGCGCGCTTACTTTCTAAAATCATAGAAAAATAATGGGTCTAACCCATTTCGGCCGGTACATATATGTACACCGTATGGTTTATTATCACGGCGCGTACGTGCATACAATTTCAAACGTGCGCCGGCAAGGAATTGTGGAAGAAACAGCGAAAAATCGCCGTAAAAGCAATTGAACTACGTATTGGGTTGCATAGGTTCAAAAAACTGCCAAGTAACTGTATTAGTATACAAATGTACATTCAGAGGGCGCTTCTAGACAACTCTCGCACTTGCCATGCAATGAAACAAGTAAAAAATTGCAGTAAACGTAATAAAACTACGTTTTGGGTTGCCTAAGTTAAAAAAATTGCAAACTAGTAGTTTAGTTGACAAATACGCATTCAGAGGGCGCTTGTAGACAATTCTCGAACTTGCCATGCATTGAGATATGCAAAAAATAGTGTAAAACGCAATAAAACTTCATTTTGGGTTGCCTAAGTTAAAAAATTGCACACTAACTGGTTTAGTTGAAAAATACGCATTCAGAGGGCGCTTGTAGACAATTCTCGCACTTGCCATGCATTGAAATATGCAAAAAATAGTATTAAACGCAATATAAGTACATTTAGGGTTGCCTAGGTTAAAAAAACTGCAAACTAGCAGTATTAGTTTACAAATGAACCTTTAGAGGGCGCTGGTGGTTGACTTTCATTCCAGATCACCGTAAACTCACGCATGTAGAATGTATTGCCTATAGGTTAAGTTATATTTATGTAGCAACTCCAAAAAAACGATAAAACATGACGGCGGATATTCAATTTGTTCGCTCGCACTTGCCACGCATCGGAATATGTAAATCCGGCGCGTAAATTAATCGCCGCGTTTAGTAATTCGGCGCGTCGCGCATGTATTTGCATTCATTTCATAAACTACCAGCCACACTCGGGAATTCATTGAGAAATTATAAATTACAAGCAACACAACCACCACCTATAATGTTGGTTGGAAGAAGTCGTTGAAGGCTTGTTGCAGTCCGCGCGCGCGCTTTTACGGAATGGAATAACTTTACATTCTTACACTTTTACACTCTTTACCAGCCTCTGAGGCGTTTTCCTATTGCACACTCGGTTTGAGATCGACGTGCATGTATGCTGATCGTCTATCTTCTAAATATGAGCGCACACTTGAGGCGTGCGTGGAAATTAATCGCTATCAAAACAAGTAGGAAATTGAATACTCGGAGCAAAACAAGTGAAACACGTTTTGCAACGGCTTAGAAAATACATCGGACACAAATCTATCGAAAGATAAAAATTGACGTTTTATTTTATTTGATTAGATTTATTATTTGTAGTGGATTGGGAGTGTGCTAGATTTTAAAGTCAATTGTCAGAATTAGTTAATGTGATTTTATTGATGTTTACAAGGAATCAATTAATTTAAGCGAAACAGGACGAGAGTGATGAGTAATTGCGCCAATTGAATTATTCAATTCTCAGAGTGCGATAAATAATTGAAAAATGTCACACCAATTAATTTTTATTACCAGAGTTAATCATTATTCCGCATATGGCTATAAATTCTAAATTTCTCTGATAGATGGCGCTACAACACTGAAATTAATGTTTTTTTTTTAGATTTTAGATTTTATTAAATTATGGACACCCTGTATAATTTTGTTAATTTATATGTAGTAGTTTTTATAGTTATTGTTGAGATTTATCCGTAGAAATTAAAATCAAGTTTCTATCACTTTTAGTTTCAAAGTTATTGATAAAAGAAATTTTTTCATTTTTATGAAATTGCGGACACCCTGTATAATTTTATTAATTTAGATATGGTGTATTTTATAGTTTATGTTGAGATCCATCCGTAGAAATTAAAATCAACTCTCTGTCACTTTTAGTTTCATAGTTATTGTCATTATTAACTTTACTATGCAAAATTTATGTTAAAATTTAATAGCGTTTGCAATTGAAAGGTAAAAAGACAGAATTTAAATGTTAAAGATGTGTCTAAAGTGTAAAATCACAAAAAAACGTAATAATTAGAGAAACTATTTAGAGAAAATCTTTTTATATTAATTTTAATTACGAGATGGCGCCACTTAACATTTCTGAACAAATATTTTAGTTTTTCACATAATTTGCAAGCACGACTAATAAAAACGTAATACTTTTACATTCTTTAACATAAGTTACAAATATATCTCCCAGATGGCGCTACTCTGTTCAAACGAACACCAAAATACAAAAACAAACAAAAATTCACTTTGCAATGTGAATAAAAAGGTGACCTCTTGTTAGGTCGATAAATAATCTTTACCTGCATGCATTCACCTTCCATCTACTCACTCGTATCTCCATCGCGCGCGCACATCTACTGATATTCGTTGTTTATTTTTAATTTAAGTTTAGTTAGAAGTTCGCGCTTCGTGTCATCGTGTCATGTTACCAACTAATTATTTCTCGTCCTAGAGTTCCTAGAGTTGAGCCGAGGTGAGCACACGCACTTTCGCAAAATTATTTTCTTCGCAGATGAAAAATTTTACGGATTAATTTAATTTTAAGCTTATTAAGCCTTTCAGCCATTGGAAAGTTTTTAACTTTGGACTTTTAACTGAGGCAAGCGTGGGCGATTCATGAAAATAATTAATTATTTGTGTCAATGCCAATTAAAAGTATTGATAATTAAAATTATAAATTACACACGAAGAAAACATTTGATAATTGAAATGTCAATTTTTATGTTTATTCAAATTTTTATTTTGTAATTTTTGATATTACAAAACTAAGTAACGAAATAATTAAATGAATTATTTCGTGATAGTTAAAGTCGTTTTTCCTTTCGATTGTAAATGTTGTTAATTTTTAACATAAAATTTAGAAATTAAATTTAATGTGCAATAACTTCGAAACTAAAAGTGATAGCAACTTGATTTTAATTTCAATGGATAGCTCACTTCAATAACAATAAAATTTAAGAGAGATAAACTTTAAAAAATATACAGGGTGTCCATAATTTAATAAAAATAAATTTCTTTCATCAATAACTTCAAAACTAAAAGTGATAAAGACTAGATTTTAATTTCTATGGATAAATCTCACCAAATACGATAAAATAAACCTAATACAAATTACCATAATTATACAGGGTGTCCGCAATTTATTAAAAACTTTACGATTACAAAACAAAACTCACGAAATAATTGAATAAATTATTTTGTGATAGTTATCATGTCGTGTTTTCCTAATTTGTTGCTCAGGAATTTTTGTGCGTTTTGATAAAACGTGAAACTAAACTTTCTTCTGCGGCGCGCATTAAGATTCCATCTTTATTGTTTCAGTTTTCTGCTCGTTTGCGGGCTGCAACTTTGATTTGAATATTTGATTATTGTTTTATTATTGGCGGTGTGGGCGAAGAATGTAAATGTCTCTATGTCTCTTCAACTTACGAGTAATATTAAAACGTTAAAAAAAAGATTTATGTGCATCCATCTTCATTCCGTATCTTATTTCATATTTCTGCAACCAGTTCTACACCCAAAACAAAAACACGCATTGAATGTCATAGAAAGTGAGGTTATGTAAAGGTATAACCTTTAAAATTATTAGTGTTTCACTTTTTCTGTTTGCTTTTCGGCGTCAAATACCAATTTATTTTCCAGACGAGACACATAGACCTAGTTTCTTGAGGTTTTTTCTTCTTCGTGTCTAATTCGTCTTACGTAAGGTCATGTCACGCACGGTTTCCCAAAGCGACAGAGGAAGTTTAATTTGAGCGCCACACACAAAGCGTTTATCTTTTCTTACAACGCATGTATTAGATTTAAAACTAAAGTAAGAAATAAAAGAGTCGTGTTGTTCTTCGTTGCATGACTGTAACGCGCGTATAAATAATGACCCAACGGAGAGAGATAATAGAGGATGAGACCAATGGTTATCGCTTAATCATTAGAAAAGTCACGCACGCACACGTCGCGACGCACTTTTTAATGCATAGAACAACCGACTCAGTCTTGTTGGGTGTCTTCACTTTTTGAACATCGTTACAACGAAAAGCGATTATCTGCGTGTGTGCTGTGTACGAAAACGAAACTTTAATGTCATCACCGACTGTGATATCATCATTAATAGTCTGACAATAAAATTACATAAGAAACAAACAGATGAGATGATCACATCACGCAAAAGAAAGAAAATTGATTTTTCTTTAGAATTTATTTAATTATGGACACGCTGTATAATTTAGTAAATTTATATATTGGGGATTTTATAGTTTTTGTTGTGATTTTTCCGTAAAAATTAAAATCAAGTCTCTATCATTTTTAGTTTTTAAGTTATTTATGATTGAAATTTATTTTTCATATTTTTTCAAAAATTATTTTTAATTTTTATTAATTTGCGAATACCCTGTATAATTTTATTAATTTTTATGCATTACAACTTATAGTTTGTGTAATTATCTATCCATTGAAATTAAAATCAACTCACTATCACTTTTAGTTTCGTAGTTATTGCTGATTTTAATTTAATTTCAGAGAAATTTTATGTTAAAAATTAACAACATTAGCAACTGAAAGGTAAAAAGACTTAAAGATTTAAACGTTGCAGACGTGTCTAAAATGTAAAACCACAAAACAACTTAGTACTTACAACCATTTTTACCTTTTTACGACAATATTAATGACTAGATGGCGCCACTTAAGCATTCCTCAACGGAAATTTCGATTTTTCAAAATAATTTGCAAGCAATAAAATTTTCACCACCAATAAAAACCCAACACTTTCGCACGCGTTAAGCCTCAGAGACACGGTTCACGGAAATTACCTCAACGATAATTAAATTTAATTACGATCTTTACGATTTTTAATTCAGTTAAAAAGTGTTAGAGGTTAGAATTTTTGCGTATTTCAAACGAACTTTCACACTATTTTCATCTATTATTAATATTACCAACAATAGGGTTTAAAAAAATTTAAAATTTAAATTTATTTGATTGCACCGACACATCATACATCTTTTATTACGCAATAAAAACCTAATCAGAAAAAAACACGCCGCCTACAAGCGTCCATTTCGTACGAGTACATTTTTGACACTTGATTGACGTGCGCGTCACCCTGTGGCGGCGCGTCGCGGCGTTTCGGTGATTTATATTAGTCGAAAGTGTTCGATGTCGAGAATTAATCTTCGCCGCCGACAGACGAATAAAAACCAACTGCGCGAGGGGTTATAACACTTTACATAAATTATAATAAAATAAAAATGGACGAAAGGGTGAGAGATGACTTTAATCAATCGGGTTATAAGTTATAACCTTCAAATCAACTGTCATCATGCATCAAAATCAAAAATCAAAAATTAAAAATAAAAATAAAAACAAATTGATTCATTATTCATTCTAACCTCGAATACTCGTATAATTCACTTTCATTCAGACATGTGTCTTCATTGTTTGCGATTTACGAGTACATCGTGGCCATGCCCATGAAAGCGAAACGCCGGTGTTCATTAAGCGCTAATTAAGCGCCGGCAACCCGCGATACACACGCGGAAATGCCGCCTTACCTCAACATAACCTCATAAAATTTTCCTCCAGCGCCGTGTGTCATTTATTTGTAATCGTAATTCGAATCTTGTTTCCATCCAAATGACTTGCTGAAGTCTTTTGCGTCTTGCATCTTGCGCCGCCGACTAATAGTCTCGTAAACTCGTTTATTCATGAGTTTCGATATTTATTAACGCGTCGTTGGCTTCGTCGCACCTAATATATTACGCAACGCTGGACAAGATGGCGGCGCGCGTGCGCAGCACGGTGTTAATTAGTGCAACACTCACCTGAAACAATAAATACACACGCAATTAGTGTCAAGATTACGAGTGAAACAAGTTTTTTATCGGAAACATGTTTTGATAAACATTTTCATGTAAATTTAGTTTTTGACGCGTTTTTTAACAATTATTAACGAAAAAATGTTTGTGCAGTGTTCACACATAGTAATTATTTCAATATTAATTAATTTATTGATTATTCAAGGTAATTCAGCTTAGAAATTAAATTTTTTTGTGTAAAATATGAAATTTTAGGTCAAGATGATAATCTTCACGTACATTTTATACTTTTTACACAAGATGGCCGTGTTGAATTAACCTCAAAAACTCTAGATCTCATAGATAATACAAAACCATCAGTTTTTATCATTCATGGATTTTTTGCTGATATTACAATTGATGTTTTTTTATTAAACATTACTCGCACCTACAGAGATACTAAAAATCACAACGCTATTTTTGTCGATTGGGGCCGATCATCATTCGATAATTACTCTTGGTTGGTGTATGAAGGTGTGCCTAGAGTAGGTGCTATCCTAGGCGCATTTATTATGCAACTTTATGAACATGGACTTAACATAAAACGTGTACATTTGGTCGGACAGTCTTTAGGAGCACATATTGCTGGTTTTGCTGGTAGATATATCAATGAAAATCATCCGAAAGGAGAAAAAATCGGTAGAATTAGTGGTTTGGATCCTGCAGGTCCGCTTTACTGGAAAGTTTTGACAATATTTGAGAATCCGTATAGTTTACGTGCGAGTGATGCAGATGTCGTTGATTGTATTCATTCGAATGGTGGATATTTAGGAACAGCGAATAATATTGGCACGGTTGATTTTTGGTTAATGGTGGGAGTTATCAGGAATATTGTGGGCAGTTTAATTCAAGTTTTAGGTTTATTTCTGAACGTAAGAAGAAAAATCAGTGGGAATGTTGGGATTAAAATGTGATTTTTAGATATATGCAACCATGCTTTCTCTTCGATATTTTACCAGGTTACAATTGGTTCAAAAGAGTATAAAGCGTCAAAAAGTGCGGATTCATGTCAGGATGTGATTGTTTTGGAGATCAGTTTGATGGGAATGCTTCAGGGGTGTATTATGTGTTGACAGAAAATAATTATCCGTTTAAATCAATTTGTTAGGTTAAAAAACTAAAATTTTATTAAAATTTTACATTTTTGCTTATAACTTTTTAACCATTGATCGTACAATCATGAAATTTATATGAAAATATTCAGAAATTAATTGTTTATAATATTTGTTATCAAATTTTACTAAATTCACTCTATAAATATTAAAATTTTATCAAAAAAGAAAATTTTCGTCATATTTGGTGTAATTTTGGTTGCCTATAATAAAATCTCGCCAAATTTATTACACTAACCATAAAATTAAACTCTCATATTGATAAACGACTGATTATGGCATTATACATCTCATTAAACATCGATAAACAAACCCGCGGCACGCATTCAACAAAATCCCACCACAAGCGATGATTATCCAACCTCTCCTAGGTGCGTACAATCACATAGGGTAATAGGCAATAATTCCCGCTAAACACACGCGCGCGAATTGTTTATCGTGCCCTCTGCGGACAGGCGCGAGCGGAGAAAGTAAAATTATGTGCGGCATGCACAATCCACCTTATAGGAAGAATCTGCAGGTTCTCGGTCCAAGTGCAAGGCGCATACACATACTATTTACGTGTCGCTCTGGTTTATGTCGAACGTTTTAGGTTATGTGGCGTGTGAATGTTTTATACGCGTCGTAGATTGTACATTTTGATTGCCGCCTATGGGTACATGCATGCAGAGTGAGTGTGTGTGTATATTGGGTTGCGTGAAATTTCATATAATAACCCAATTAAAATGCCATGCGATTATTTCAAATCTATAATCATAAAATAAATAAATTGATATTAAACGAACGAAAACACCACCAACACAATTTTCTCTCTCTCGCTGTGTGTGTGTGTGTTTGGTGTGTTGCAGTAAATTCAAAGTTGGAATTTCTCCCGATATAATATATTAACCGTTAATAATGCACGCGGCGGCGTAATGCAAAACGGCGAATAAAATTGATAATCGCCGTATAACTTATCTATTATATTTCGCAGCGGAAATGTTTATCTGCCGGCACGACAATATTGCCGATCGCGCGCCGCCATAAATTATTTTATCCCGAGCTAACTGTAAGCGATAAATTGATACGCGGATGGTTTATCGACGCAAAGTGTTGCGCCAACGGCTTCATTAATTGTCGATTTCCGCGTCGAGCGTTTTGATTGACACTAATGCGACGTTTTTACAGCTATTCACCGGAAAACTCGACTGAAACTTTTCATAACCCACAATTACAACTACAGAAAACTGTAAAAAACTACAGAAACCTGTAAAATTTACAAAAAAAATTGAAGGTTAGGTGATGTAATATTGGTTACAGGGTTTCGGACGAAACACCTTGATGGCGTGCAGAGTGGAGATTTATGGCCGATGCCGTTTTGTAATTAAATCTTTCACGATGCGCGTTTTACGTGCGGCGCTGATTGAGAAATTAAAGCGGCACGCCGTGAGTTCCTGCGACTGAGATTTACGCGCACGAACTAATGCATACGCAAGTAAGGGCGTCATAAATATTTACACATGCGTAGTGTTTATTCCCGCCGATAGATGGCGCTGCACGTTTGAAAATTTCAAATGTCCTTGACATTGAAAATGAAAATCGAGGCGATTCGGATCTAGATCATCGAAATTCGTCACGATTTAATGCATAAAAAGCGATTAACATGATTCGGTGTCAGAAGAAAGTCGATCAGTTAAGTTACAATTCATTTTCATTCATTTAAGAGTAAAAAATTATAAACCGCTGCCGATAAACCTAAAAAACTAGTTTTGTTTTTTTATTATTGTAAATTGTAAACATTCGTTTGATGATTTTGATTTTGATTTTGATTTAATAACACACACGATGAATGTGTGCAAAAACTCGCATACTCGGATATAAAGTTAAACACGCTCGATGATTGTTATTAGTTTATTAAGGCCTATGATTAAGTGCCGCGTGTGTTTACTCTCGAGTCAATTACACATCTTTCGCGCGCCGGCGAGATGAAATGTGATGCGATGAGTGAGTGAGTTTTTGAGTGATTGAAAGCAAGCAAGCAGTCGATGAGACGAGATGAGATGTGTGGCAAAGAGAGAGTAATTCGATACGGCGATGAAGTGTTGAGGACGAATTCGGACGTTATGCGATGTTGGGGCCTCGTTCTTTTTATTTGGGTTTTGCAATGCGCGTGCGTTTAATTGGGTCGAGATTTTTGGCGATTTATTCCACAAACACCATTTCCAAGCGTGGATTTTAATTGTTTTCGGAAACGATGAGTTATTTTAAAGTAAATATGTAATTATTTATTATATTTTGCGAAATAACTGTGTTGGGTTATATAGGCAATCCAGTTAATGTAAAATTTAATGTAGGCAACCTCAAATACACTTGAAAGTGGTTATATGAGGTTGATTTTGTTCAAAATTGGATTTTTTCAAATTTACGCTTGGAATTTTCACATTTTCTTGTATTTTTCCAAATTTTCGCCTATTTATTGCAGAAATACAATTTCCAAGCAGAAATTTTCATTATTTTTCAAAATATTAACTTAAATTGATGTAAAATTTTAATTATTCATTAATTTTTGCCAAATAACTGTATTTTACTATATAGACAACCCACTTATTGCAAATTTTACTATAGGCAACCTAAAATACACTTGAAAGTTGAATTATGACTTCATTATGTTGCAAATCAAAATTTTTTCGCATCTACTCTTGGCATTTTCACTTTTACTTGTACTTTGCATTCAGATTAAGCCACTCCACACTAATTGAAGTCCTATTAGCGAATTGAAAACGTCGAAAGGGAATTAGAACGTGCTCGCATTCTAGACATTTGCATCAACCGAAAAATAACGCGCTTCGCAAAATCAACAACTCTGGCCTGTTTCGCGAGTTCAATAGTTGTGCATTGCACAAAGGCACAAAAGCCACGCAGTTTATTTGTGTTTGTAAATGTGTGTGTGTGTGCAGTGACCCAATAATGACGATCGATCGCCATTAAGCGCCGTGCCGCGCACGGCATCAATTTGTATCGACGTGTATCGTCCATTGCAGCTAATTCCGATTGACACGACGAATAAACATCACACAGACTCTACGAGTAGAGTCTCCTGAGTTGAAACTTTGAATGCAAGTAAAAGTCAATTGAGCGCCGTGAGTGAAGCACATCGTGCAAGACGCGTCGCCGTCGCAATTGCGACTGCAATTTAAGGCATTTGTACCATTTACAGTCGCACAGACACACTCGGTGGGTCTTTGCATTCAGGAGTCACGAAGTCGCTGCTCTACACGCATTTAGATCTGTGTTAACATATGTGGGACACTTATCGATAACGTCCAATAGCGACTTATTGTCTTCAAAACTAAAGAAATGCAAACAAAATGGCCGACAAGTACATACAGCACCATCTGGTGACCTAATTATATAAAAATAAAAATTTTCACGAAAAATTAAATTAAATTTTTAAAATTTTATCATAATTTATGCATAAAAGATTTTGTAATGCGTGACATGCATGTCAAACAAATTGAGTCGATAAGATAATAGTCGACGCTCACTTTTCTTAAACAACGAACCACCTGACTTAAGTATAAGTAACAACTTGTCGTAGTTCAGGTTCTTCATCTTTAATCTCCAATCTCACATCTTGAATACTCGTAGTATGTACACATTTTGCATACTGAATAATTACAACTGATAATATACAGTGTGTTTAAATTTTTCATAAAAAAATTCATAAAAATTTACAAATAAAAAACATGGCGGCTTAATAACAAAGCAACAAAGTCCCATTATATCTAATTCTATGATGAATGGTAATTAATTATTTACGACGGCGATAAATTGAACAAACTATATAGTAAATCCAAACGGACGGCGCGTTGCTCCGCGACAATTAATAACGTTTGTACTAATTGAGTTGACTGCAGTTGACTTGACTATCTGCGTTGAGTTCATGTGGGTACTTTCTTTATCAACACAATTGATGCGCGCGCTTAGAGTTCATTTACTTCTACTGCTGATTAAAATGTGCTTTACACAATAAAAATTAACTGAGATAAACGTGGACAGATGTAAAAAATGACATCTGTTGGGTTGGATTGGATTTGACCTTGATGAATGTCAAAATGTTTGTTTAATTAATTCATGCGTTGATGTGTTCATGTGTTAATTGTGCCGGTTTCATCCGGTGAAATTCATGCCCAAATAAATATCATGCGAATGTAGGCGACAAGAAAATGACACGCAAGCCATATTTGCACCGGCGCGTACGTTTTCATTGACATGTTCCACTAAAATTTTATTGTTTTATGTTGTTTGGTGGTAATTTCAAGGTGTTAAACTTGTATTAATTGTTGAATTTAGTAGAAAATTGAGGGAAATATTCAATTAATTAATTTTTTGTGCAACTATAGATTTATCTATGGAATGCGCATGATATTTTCACTTTTTTTTTGAATTTTACTGAGATTGTTGGAAGATTTATTCCAGAAAAACGATTTCCAAGCGTGGATTTTAATTATTTTAGGAAATGTTAGCTTAAACTCAAGTAAACTTGTAATTATTCATTAAATTTTGCAAAATAACAGTGCTGGACAATATAGGCAACCCATTTATTAAAAAAATTAAAGTAGGCAACCTAAAATACACTGTAAAGTTCAAATTTTATTTAATTTTTGACAATTTGTTTCAAAAAACATTTCCAAACGTGGATTTTAATTATTTTAAGAAACAGCAACTTAAATTTAAGTTATCTTGTAATTATTTACTATATTTTGATAGTAAAATATGTAAAATATCAATAAATTCATTTTCTAAGTAACTGTAAATCCGTT